TCCTCTCTTACCTTCATCTTACGTTCTCTTACTTTCATCTGACTCTTCGCTTCGCTCTCTTGCCTTTTTAAATTGACTTTTTTCATTATTCTTAAACCGTAACATGACTTGAAAAGTTCAGGACGGACTGAAATGTCATAAATTTTTGTCTTTTCAGATGTGTGGATTGGGTGTGCAATTTTCAGCCACGTTATTGTGACTATTAACGCAACTCCAATACTCTTCTCAATATTCTTGCCCAGTGGTAACTTTTATAATAATAAGCCTCGAACGGTGAATAATATACGTCTTCCAATACATGACCACAAATGCCCTTAGCAACATTGATTAGTAAAAGGAAAATCAGATCTATTGAAGAATTCAAATTTACTTCATGAACCAGATCCATGATTCAGATTGATCATGAACCAGATCATGAACCAGATCATGAACCAGGATCATGAACACAAACTAGCAGAAAAACACTATTCTATGTTTGGCCACATGCATAGAACTTTATATATTGCAGGGAATGAGTCACAATAACGTAGATGACACAAATAATCCAACACATAATTTAATTTTATGTGTGGCTTGGATTATTCCCTTCTATGTTATATGGTGTAGAGAGAAATGGGGTGAATATACCTGGAGACTTGTAGAGCATCCTCATTATAGGGTGAGGTAATTATGAGGTACCTGCGCTGGGGAAGTTTGACTATGATACATGGAATGCAGGCGATGAGTCACAATAACGTGGCTGAAGTATGATGACCAGACAACACACTAGAAAGTGAAGGGACGACAACGCTTCGGTCCTTCTTGGACCATTCTCAAGTCGATGAGAATGGTCCATTCTCAATTCTCATCGACTTGACAATGGTCCAAGACGGACGGAAACATCGTCGTCCCTTCACTTTCTAGTGTGTGGTCTGGTCAACAAACATGGAATTGTTATGAGGACAAGAGAACTGGGTGACGGAACGGTGCTCAACCACCTGGGTTATTGGGAATCGAACGCAGATCTGAAAGAATCGAGGTCGTCGCTGTGACCGACCAATCCTCCTTGTATCCTTCTGGTGATTGATACTAGGGGTGGCAGGGTGGGGAGTGGGCGGGGTTCTGGGTGACAGAGTGGGGGAGTGGGTGGGGGAGTGGGCGGGGTTCTGGGTGACAGAGTGGGGGAGTGGGCGGGGTTCTGGGTGACAGAATGGGGGAGTGGGCGAGGTTCTGGGTGACAGGGCGGGGTAGTGAGACACCAGCTGTTAGACCAGGCCCGCGGGACGGCGGGGAAAACAATGGTAAGCCACAGAAGAAATAAAGCGAGTTATAAGGCCTCATTGGCAGTGAAGCATCGTCAATGAGTTTCAGCCGCCTGAGAAACTCAGCAAATTGACCCATCAAGAATACTAGATTAGCCAAACTCACCCCTCGGCGCACACACCTCTATCATTCTGAACTATCAACTGTCATCAATCACTTTAACCCACCATCATCAATCACAATCATCAATCACCATCATCCACAATTATCAGTCACCATCTGCACCCCATCCACCACCCGATCCTCATCAATTACAAGGAGCGTCACGTGGTCCCCTATTCACCGTGTACTTTTCTTACATACAACAACCCCCCCCCCCCCCCCCCTCCTTCTCATAAACCCTTTCTCTACCCCTTTCTCACATATATTTCCCCCTCCCAAACCCTCTCCCATTCCCTCCCAAAATTTGCTTCTCCTAAACCTAACTCACAATAGCTCAAAATCATTCACAATAACTCGAAATAACTCAAAAAATAAACAAACATAATAACGAAAGGCACTATAATACTAACTACTTCATCCGCATTAAAATTATTTAATATAATTGTATTAAATTACTTTACATACATAATTTCAAAGTAAACTCAAGTAATCAGTTTTCACCTCATCCTAAAAACTACTGATGTAATAACCGCAAAAATAATTTATGTTGAAATAATTATCATATTCGAATTATTACTTTGTGCGCCGAAACAGGCACACTAATACGCCACAATATCTGGACAAAAACTTATAATATCACACTTAAAAAGTCAATATAATCACACTAAAAAATTACTGTCTTCTAGTCTTCATTGAATCCAATGATTACATTTACTAAATCCGCATTATAATCTCTATAAAAACAGAGGTGTAAAATTTATTGACATAGTGTAGCCAAAATGGATTGTGCGAACAGAGCGATATAATACCCCAGATGGGGGAAGAATTATTGAATTTGTGTGTGTTTGGCTGTGTGTGTGTGTGTGTCTGTGTGTGTGTACTCACCTAGTTGTGTTTGCAGGGGTTGAGCTCTAGCTCTTTGGTCCCGCCTCTCAACTGTCAATCAACTGGTGTACAGATTCCTGAACCTATAGGGCTCTATCATATCTATATTTGAAACTGTGTATGGAGTCAGCCTCCACCACAGCACTACTTAATGCATTCCATTTGTTAACTACCCTGACACTGAAAAAATTCTTTCTGACGTCTCTGTGGCTCATCTGGGTACTAAGTTTCCACCTGTGTCCCCTTGTTCGTGTTCCACCCGTGCTGAAGAGTTTGTCTTTGTCCACCCTGTCAATTCCCCTGAGAATTTTGTAGGTGGTTATCATGTCTCCCCTTTCTCTTCTGTTTTCCAGGGTGGTGAGGTTCAGTTTCCTTAACCATTCCTCATAACTCATTCCTCTCAGTTCCGGAACCAGTCTGGTGGCATACCTCTGAATCTTCTCTAACTTCGTCGTGTGTTTAACTAGGTATGGACTCCAGGCTGGAGCTGCATACTCCAGAATTGGTCTAACATAAGTGGTATACAGGGTCCTGAATGATTCCTTACACAAGTTTCTAAAGGCAGTTCTTATATTGGCCAGTCTACCATATGCCGCTGATGATATCCTTTTGATGTGGGCCTCTGGGGACAAGTTCGGTGTGATATCGACCCCCAGATCTTTCTCTCTATTTGACTATTGCAGGATTTCACCTCCCAGATGGTACCTTGTGTTCAGCCTTCTGCTCCCTTCGCCTAATTTCATTACTTTACACTTTCCTGAGTTGAACTTTAGCAGCCATTTTCTAGACCATTCCTCCAGTTTGTCCAGGTCGTCCTGTAGTCTCTGTCTATCTTCATCTGTTTTGATTCTTCTCATAATTTTTCCATCATCAGCAAACATTGAGGAATGAGTCTATACCCTCTGGAAGGTCGTTTACATATACCAGAAACAGGATGAGTCCGAGTACAGAGCCCTGTGGAACCCCGCTGGTGACATCTCGCCACTCTGATGCCTCCCCCCTCACCGTTACTCGCTGTTTCCTATTGCTTAGATACTCACTTATCTACTGGAGCACCTTACCTTTTACTCCTGCCTGCTGCTCCAACTTTTGTAACAGCCTTTTGTGAGGTACTGTGTCAAAGGCTTTCTGACAATCCAAGAAAATGCAGTCTGCCCACCCTTCTCTTTCCTGCCTAATTTGTGTTGCTTGGTCATAGAGGTCTATTAGGCCTGTGAGGCACGATTTACCATCTCTGAACCCATGTTGGTGGTGTGTTACAAAGCTGTTTCCCTCCAGATGCTCTACGTGCCTTTTTCTCACAATCTTCTCCATCACCTTGCATGGTATACAAGTTAGGGAAACTTGCCTGTAGTTCAGTACCTCTTGCCTGTCACCCTTTTTGTAAATTGGGACTACATTTGCTGTCTTCCAGCTTTCCGGAAGGTCTCCCGTTTCCAGTGACCTGTTGTACACCATAGAGAGTGGCACACTTAGTGCTTCTGCACCTTCTTTTAGAATCCACGGTGAGATTCTGTCAAGCCCAACAGCCTTTGACACATTCAGCTCCAACAGATTCCTTTTGACCTCATCACTGGTGAGGTAAAATTTCTCCAAAGTTGTTCGGTTTGCCTCCTTATTTAGTGCAGGGACCTCTCCTTGTTCTATTGTGAAGACCTCCTGGAATATCTTGTTGAGTTCTTCACACACCTCTTTGTCGTTCTCTGTGTATCTGTTCTCCCCTTTTCTCAGTTTCATCACTTGTTCCTTCACTGCTGTTTTTCTCCTGATTTGGCTGTGGAGCAGCTTTGGTTGGGACTTAGCTTTACTCGCGATGTCATTTTCCTACTGTCTCTCTGCTTCTCTCCTCACTCTGAGGTACTCATTCCTGGCCCTCTGGTATCTCTCCCTGCTCTCTGGTGTTCTGTTGTTCCTGTAGTTTCATCATGTTCTTTTACTTAATTGCTTCGCTACCGTACATTCCTGATTGATCCATGGATTCTTCTGTTGCTTTTCATTTTTCACTTTTTTGGACTGGGTTAAACCTGTCTGCAGCCTCCTGACACTTCTGAGTGACATAATCCATCATATCCTGTACAGTCTTTTCTCTGAGTTCTGTTTCCCATGGTATTCCCATAAGGAAGTTCCTCATCTCGTCATACTTTCCTCTTCGGTAATTTAGTCTTTTCCCTTCCAATCCCATCCTTGGTTTGGTTATCCCTACTTCTACCAGATACTCAAATATCAATACACTGGGGTCACTCATTCCTTTGGGACTTCATATTTGACTTCCCTTATTTCTGAGTCATTTAAGGTAAATATCAGGTCGAGTCTAGCTGGTTCGTCATTTCCTCTCATTCATGTGGGTCCCTTGACATGTTGGCTCAGAAAGTTCCTTGTACTCACTTTCAAAAGTTTAGATCTCCATGTGTCTTCACCTCCATGTGGGTCCCCATTCTCCCAGTCTATCTTTCCATGGTTGAAATCGCCCATGATTAAGAGTCTGAATCCATTCCTGCAAGTAACTGAAGCTGCTCTCTCTATTATGTTAATGGAAGCCATGGTGTGTGTGTGTGTGGTGTGAGTGTGTGTGTTTGGCTATGTGAGTGAGTAATCACCTAAATGTGCTAACTTAGAAGTGCTTACAGGGTTGACTTAGGCTCTTTGCCCCGCTATCCGAACATCCTTAGATTAATGCAATGACTCACTACTCTCTTTCATCCTATTTACCTTTAAATCTCTGCATCTATTAACTTCGACGATTTCAACCTCGAAGGAGATCTCAATACTATTTCACGTACTGAGATCTCTTTTACTGACATCTTTGTGTCTCGTATATCTCTCTGGTTTCCATCTACATCTCTTCGTTCTGCAGTCCCTGGCTTTGATCTTTGCTGAATTATATATTATGTTAATTTTCTTAATAATGTAATAAGTTGTTATACACAGAGAAGTCACAATAATGTGATACATATGAATGAGACAAAAGTGCGCGGCTGAGAGTGCTCTGATCTCTGGTTTGAGTCACCTTAGTGATCTTAATTGTTTTTCTCGTATGTCGTTGACATGCGCCACTCATCTCTCCATCCCTTCCAGTGTGGCAAGGTCCAGTTTCTTTAGTCTTATCTCATGCCCTAATCACTTCAGCTCAGTAATATGCTTCAGTGCATATCCTTGTACCTTTTCTAGCTTTGCCTTGTTCTTCATCAGGGGGATTTATATAAGGGACGGATTTCAAAAGTAGGTGTCACATTGAATATATTCAGGGCCTGGAAAGCTTTTTTTTTTTAATTTTTGAAAAATAGGTGGCCATCATTCTGTTAGTGTGTACTTCTGGCATCAGATTTGAGAAGCGTGTATACTTACAGGTTTTTATTCTTTTCTGATGAAAAGAAAAGAAGAAAACTTTCCATATCTCTTCCAATGTTCACATCTCTGCATTTGTCTGGGTTAAATTCCAGCAGCCATTTTTTTGTTATGCCAATTTTTGGAGTGAGTCCAGATCCGTTGGCAAGGTATTACAAGCTCTCCCTGTTCCTATTCTTCTCATTAGTTTTACATAGCCTGCAGTGTGTGTGTGTGTGTGTGTGTGTGTGTGTGTGTGTGTGTGTGTGTGTGTGTGTGTGTGTGTGGCTCGACCCTATTCATACCACACATGGCCGACCAAGCGGAGCCGTGAGACTAGTTACCACCTTCTCCTTCTTTTGTTTCATCTATTTAACTTTTCCGCTTCTTCTTCTTCTTCCCTGTCTATATCCTTCGTAACATTAGTTAAATAAATTTTTCCCCCCTATTCCCCTTCCTCTACCTTCAGCTGTTCCTTATCCTTGGATTAATTCTTTGTCTTCTTCCATACATTTTAAATATTTTGTCTTAATTTTAATTTGTTATTATTTCACCTTTCCTCGTCCATCATATTTTATCTTCCTTCTTTCTTTCCTTCGGCCGTCAGATAAATTATGAGTAACAACGTCTGGTATATTTCTCCGCGCTTTCTTGAGAATCTGTTTCTGCCTGATCTTTTTATTTGGGATTTTCTAATTTGTATAGCTTTTTCACTTTTTGTTAATTTTGGATTTTTAATTTTGTTGTATTTTACTTATTCAGAAATGTTTACTTTTTTGGGGGGTGGTGGAGTCTCTTCTGCTTTCTCATTTAAAACTTCCAATTTTTCCTCTTATTGATTCAACCTTGAAAATAAGAATGTATTTTCGTTTACCCATGGTTACTACTTTCCCTATGGTTCCTATTTGCCCTATGGTTCCTATTTGCCCTATGGTTACTATTTTCCCTATGGTTCCTATTTTCCCTATTTCATCTATTTTCCCAATGATTTCTATTTTCGGGTCGTTTTTCTATACCAAGCTTTCCAATTTATCTTTCTTTCTTGATCTGAATTGCCTTCTATGATTTTTCATTCCACGTTTCCCTTCTCGCTGGTTTTCTTCCCCCCCCCCTCCTCCCTCCTCCTTTCCCCCTTCCCTTTCCCCCTCCCTTCCCCCCTCCCTTCCCCCCTCCCTTCCCCCCTCCCTTTCCCCCTCCCTTCCCCCCCTCCCTTCCCCCCCTCCCTTCCCCCCTCCCTTTGATTTCATTTATCTATCTCACTGCTAATCCATTCTTGTTGGTTTTCACGGTTCTCTGATTCTTTCTTCACTTCCTTCCAGTTGCGCGGAGAGGACAAAAAAAAACAGGCAATCACGCAGGCTTGCAGGAGGTCTTCGGGAAGATTCGAGATAGATAAGAGAGAGAGAGAGAGAGAGAGAGAGAGAGAGAGAGAGAGAGAGAGAGAGAGAGAGAGAGAGAGAGAGAGAGAGAGAGAGAGAGAGAGAGAGAGAGGTATTACGCTCCCTTATCTCTCGAAGGTAAGGAGGGGGGGGGAGGGGATATGCATGATTTAGTCTTAACAAAAATGAATAATAATGATGTAGAATTGTGATTAATGTTTAGATATTATTAACATTAACCTCAGCCCAGGTTATCAAAACCGTTTTGCATAAAAAATTACTTATAATATAGCAGAAAGCCTATATAGAGTTAGAAGCAAAACACTAACGAGGATAAGGACATGTTTACCACATAGAAAATAGAGTCTAAGCATAAGTAGAATGGAATCCTATTGCGGAAGTTCATACATTTTCCATAATGACCTCGAGTTACTGCTGTTGAGACCTCTATTGTTTTATTTGGGGCCTCTATATGACGATCTTCATTAACCAAGATTATACACTCATGTTGACCAGACCACACACTAGAATGTGAAGGGACGACGACGTTTCGGTCCGTCCTGGACCATTCTCATGTCGATTGCAGCCGTGTATTGTATACACTCAAATACAGACTCAGCAACTGCAAGACCTCACGATGAATGAAAGCTTGAATTAAAATGTGCAGATCCGGCATATTCGAAATTAAAATTTTTATTAATAAACTAATAACGAGAGATGTAAATCCATTTAAAAAAAAATTGTGTGTATTGAGCATTGTTGATCCAAATCCAAGATAACAGGAAATATAGTCACGATATAAGGCCCAAAAGGACACAGCTGCATATTTAGAAAAATAGGAATGTTAATCATTTGTTGGGGACAGGAAGCCTGTGAATATATATCTTTTATGAGTGTATCGACACCCCCCCCATCCCACACCTCACCCTACACAGCCAAGGATTCACAACAGCTTTCTAATTTCCGGATAACATTTACTGCTAGGTGAACAGCGGCATTAGGCGAAAAGAAACATGACCAACCATTTCTGTCCTGCCCAGAAATCGAACCTGAAAACCACGTTTGTGAATTGAAAACGAAGCCAACTGTATCTTCGAGACCCAAATATTGACTTTCAGCGTCCCCCCCCCCCTTGTACTGATGTAACTTGTGAGGAAGCACCGTACTTCTTGATCACCGTACCACTGGTCACCGTACCACTGGTCACCGTACCACTGGTCACCGTACCACTGGTCACCGTACCACTGGTCACCGTACCACTGGTCACCATACCACTGGTCACCGTACCACTGGTCACTGCACCACTGGTCACCGTACCACTGGTCACCGTACCACTGGTCACCGTACCACTGGTCACCGTACCACTGGTCACCATACCACTGGTCACCATACCACTGGTCACCGTACCACTGGTCACCGTACCACTGGTCACTGCACCACTGGTCACCGTACCACTGGTCACCGTACCACTGGTCACCGTACCACTGGTCACCGTACCACTGGTCACCATACCACTGGTCACCTTACCACTGGTCACCGTACCACTGGTCACCATACCACTGGTCACCGTACCACTGGTCACCGTACCACTGGTCACCGTACCACTGGTCACCGTACCACTGGTCACCGTACCACTGGTCACCATACCACTGGTCACCATACCACTGGTCACCGTACCACTGGTCACTGCACCACTGGTCACCGTACCACTGGTCACCGTACCACTGGTCACCGTACCACTGGTCACCATACCACTGGTCACCTTACCACTGGTCACCGTACCACTGGTCACCATACCACTGGTCACCGTACCACTGGTCACCGTACCACTGGTCACCGTACCACTGGTCACCATACCACTGGTCACCTTACCACTGGTCACCGTACCACTGGTCACCATACCACTGGTCACCGTACCACTGGTCACCGTACCACTGGTCACCGTACCACTGGTCACCATACCACTGGTCACCATACCACTGGTCACCATACCACTGGTCACCGTACCACTGGTCACCGTACCACTGGTCACCGTACCACTGGTCACCGTACCACTGGTCACCATACCACTGGTCACCGTACCACTGGTCACCGTACCACTGGTCACCATACCACTGGTCACCGTACCACTGGTCACCGTACCACTGGTCACTGCACCACTGGTCACCGTACCACTGGTCACTGCACCACTGGTCACCGTACCACTGGTCACCGTACCACTGGTCACCATACCACTGGTCACCATACCACTGGTCACCGTACCACTGGTCACTGCACCACTGGTCACCATACCACTGGTCACCATACCACTGGTCACCGTACCACTGGTCACCATACCACTGGTCACCGTACCACTGGTCACCGTACCACTGGTCACTGCACCACTGGTCACCGTACCACTGGTCACCGTACCACTGGTCACCGTACCACTGGTCACCGTACCACTGGTCACCATACCACTGGTCACCGTACCACTGGTCACCGTACCACTGGTCACCGTACCACTGGTCACTGCACCACTGGTCACCATACCACTGGTCACCGTACCACTGGTCACCGTACCACTGGTCACCGTACCACTGGTCACCGTACCACTGGTCACCGTACCACTGGTCACCATACCACTGGTCACCGTACCACTGGTCACCGTACCACTGGTCACTGCAGCACTGGTCACCGTACCACTGGTCACCGTACCACTGGTCACCGTACCACTGGTCACCGTACCACTGGTCACCATACCACTGGTCACCATACCACTGGTCACCGTACCACTGGTCACTGCACCACTGGTCACCGTACCACTGGTCACTGCAGCACTGGTCACCGTACCACTGGTCACCGTACCACTGGTCACCGTACCACTGGTCACCGTACCACTGGTCACCATACCACTGGTCACCATACCACTGGTCACCGTACCACTGGTCACTGCACCACTGTGAGGACATAAATCATCATGAAAACACGACCCGTAGAATAGCTAAGTTAATCCCCAACATTAACAATCATTCACAAAACATTACTCTTCTCTACGTGAGTTTTCCTCCACACAGTATTATTGTTCCTTCATCTGTCTCTCCCTTTCTTCGCTGTTCTTGCTCTTCTTCCCCCACATTCTTTTTTTTTACCTTCATCCTTGCTTCTGAGTTCTTCTCATTAATCTGTTAACTTCCACACCCGACTCCACACCTGGCCTAGCCCCTGACTCCACACCTGGTCTGGCACCTGACTCCACACCTGGCCTCGCTCCTGACTCCACACCTGGTCTAGCACCTGACTCCACACCTGGCCAAGCATCTGACTCCACACCTGGCCAAACATCTGACTCCACACCTGGTCTAGCACCGGCCACATCTTCGTCACTGTTAACAGGAGCAGATCAAACCGGCTCCAACATAAATGCCTAGCTGATATATATACTTATTTTCTGTTTTGGTAATAACACACTCTCTCTCTGTGTCTGTCTGTCTCTCTGTCTGTCTGTCTCTCTTTCTCTCTCTCTCTCTCTCTCTCTCTCTCTCTCTCTCTCTCTCTCTCTCTCTCTCTCTCTCTCTCTCTCTCTCTCTCTCTCTCTCTCTCTCTCTCTCCATACTCCCAATCCTCCATTCCTTCCTACCTGTCTCCCTTTTCCGAGCTTATTCTTCCTATTTCCTAACTGTTCCTACCTTGTCACCCTCCCCCCTTCCTATAAACTCTTTTTTCTCAACCATCTTTTCCCAGTTTCCCTCCTCTTCTTCTCCTTTATACTCCACGTCTCATCTCTCAAATAATTTAACATAATTGCAAATACAAATCCTCCAGGAAAGAGGTGAACTGCTAAAAGGTTAAAAGACCGCCACTGAGCATATCTTCAGGATAATGTGGACTAAACAACACCATATAATAAGAGAACGACGACGTTTCGGTTCGTCCTGGACCATTGTCAAGTTGGTTTTGATGAGACGAAGGAGGCACGGGCAAAGGATAAGGCAAGAGAGAGGTGAGGTATAATAAAGGGGGGAAAACGTGCATTCAGAAAACTATGGTGGTTTACGGGCTCACCATAGCCCATGCTACACGGACACACCGTTCTGAGTAGCTAAATCTAAAACAACTGAAACAACGTGCATTCAGAATGATGTGCTTCGCATCCATACAATGCACGGTAATGGGAACCCTATGAAAGATGCTGCTTGAACATTTGAAGAGTTCAACCAACCACTTCTGTCCAACTCAGAAATCGAACCCTAAGTGTTGCCTTATAATGCAAGACTGGCATGTTTTGAAAAGGAAAATCGTGGCTCAGGAACTCAAGAGAATTTGTGACCGAGGGAGAGAGATCAGGCCAGTCAGAGAAGGCTAGGTAACAGGGTTACTGTGGGGGGGAGGGGGGGGGAAGATAAGGTAATTATCAGGATTATTATTATGGTAATAGCTGTTATGGTAATATTATGGCTGCGAGCCATAATAATTATCAGGTAATTATTATGGCTCGCAGCCAGTGTGACTATATGACGCTTGGAAGCTCTCCCATTTGGACCATCGGAGATTGTCCAACAAGTGGTTACTAGAGTTTAACTCAAGTAAGTGCAAAGTAATAACATTTGAGACTGGGAACAGGAGACCGGACCAAAGGTATCAAATGGAAGAGGAATCCCTCCTGGAGATGTACAGAGATAATTACCCGAAGATTGATGTCACACCGAATCTGTCTTACGAAACAGAGATCAAATGAATATAATTGTCAACATAGGTAAGGTTGACCAAGGTCAGAATTGGTATCGGAAATCTTAATAAGTCATCTTTAAGAATCTTGTTTACCACATACGTGAGACCAATTCTGGTATATGAGGCGCCAGCGGTGATTACTTGTCACGTTAAAACAAAACGAAAAAAACAACTCGAAAAAATCCAGTGACAACTCGAGTCAACCAATTCGTAATTCCCATTCTTTGTCCAGCATACTCCTCACCCTTTTCCTTGCCTCATACCCTCATGAAACATATCGACACGATATACAGTTCCGTCCCTCTGCCCCGCATACCCCATACTCATTTTCCTTATCCAGTATACCCGGCAGCCTTTTCTTAGCCACCTTTTCGCTCCGCATACCCTATACCCCTTCCCCTTCTTTCCCCCCAGTGCCCAACATACCCCTAGCAGCTCATGAATATGTGAGTGTGTTATCCATCACTTGTGAGATAACCAGGTATTACCAGGTCCCGCTACTTACGAGGGGAACTGTGAGGGGGGGGGTGTATGTGGGAACTGGGAGGGGAGTGTAGGTGGGAACTGGGAGGGGGTGCAAGTGGAGGCGGTGAATGGGGAGGGGTGTAGGTGGGGGACTGTGAATGGGGGTGGGTGTAGGTGCGGAGTGAGAGTAGGGAGTGGATGAGAGGAGTTGGCTATGGGTAGATATTGGTACTTACCTATCAGTGACCACGGGAGAGTGGGGTCTAGCTCTCCATGCCCCGCCGGCAAAGCCTCATATTGCACCTGCTACGTTATATAACCTAACTCTCCTGACGTTCGAGTTCTTTGACGAGTCAAGCCTTGAAGTTGTGGATGGAGGTGGCTTCCACAACTCCCTCTTTGCCCGCATTCCACTTTGAAGAGACCACCCGAACAGGGTACGAGTCCTGTCCTTACATTTCTTCCTCTCATGTGAGGTTTCCAGCTTCCCATTCTTGTCCTACTTTTCCTCACTTTACAAGAGGATGAGGGTGTGGTTCAGGCTTAAAAGGGGCGGTTTTAAAGTGCTGCAAAACCGCCACTTTTCATGAAAACATATAGGAAAAGAGGGAAGAGGAGACAATGACAATCAGGCAGAATGACTGTATACTTCATAGACGATCAACCACATAGGGTCAACCATAGACAATTGAGGGTCAACCACATAGGGTCAGCCATAGACAATAGAGGGTCAACCACAGAGGATCAAACATAGAGGAACAACCACAGAGATACAGCCATAGAGGGTCAACCACAAAAGATCAATCATAGAGGGTCAACCATAGACGATCAATTAACCACAGAGGGTCAAATAAAGAGAGGACAACCACAGACTAACTACACTTAGGTAATTACACTGAGACAACCATAGAGAATCAAACATCCATGCTCACAGAGGATCAACCATAGAAGGGGTCAACCCCAGATAATCAACCACAGAGTGTCTACAACAGAGAAATCAATCATAAAAAGTTCAACCACCGAGGGTCAACCAGCACAGAGGGTCAAACATAGCGAAATCAACCACAGAATATCAACCATACAGAGCCAGCCCCACCTTAACAAAGGGGTGGAAACTAGGTCAGCAACGACCCATAACAAAAGTTACCCACGTGTTTAAAGAAGAAAAAACACAACAGCAGTTAACGAGACAGCTGGAGGAATCCCGACCTGTATTCACCACTGTCGTAAGGGTGGGAATTAACGTGTTTTCTAGAGTTAATTCTGGGTTACGTCTCCTGTCTCGTCCCCCCCCCCCCATCCCTCCCTCTCCCTCCCTCTTCCCTGGCCACCCACATTGTTGGCTGGCTGGGTTTTCCAATGACATTTCGTATAGTGATGCCAGTTCGATACCAGCCGGTCGTAAGGTAACATCACAATCAGCGGTCACTATCGTTAATACCATTATGGGTTATTGGAGTGCTTATTATAGTGGTGTCAGAGTCATTGTCATTCAGTAATGTCATTGTCAATAGTTTTATTAATGTAATCGTGATAATTATAGTTTTACTCGTCATTATAATAGTTTTAATCGTTATTATTATAGTCTTTAATCATTATAATAGTTCTAATCATCATTATGAACATTTTAATCATTAATCTTACAGTGTAACCAGCGTATCTATTGAGACGAAAATAATAACCAATTTTCAATTTGTCTAGCGTAATTGATATGATTATTAATCATTATAATTATTACTCATGTTTTTATCATTATCATTAGTGCTGTTATCATTGTTGATAATACTAATTTGATCATTAATATTTCTGATATTATCAGTATTATTGGTGTCCTTATCCAGGCGGCGGGGGGGGGGGATGATTAGTGCATCTTGGTCAAGCTGAGGGCGCCTGACAGCTGGGTGGACAGCGCTTCGGATTCGTTGTCCTAAGGTTCCGGGTTCGATCCCCGGTGGAGGCTGAGACAAATGGGCAAAATGTTTCTTTCACCCCTGATGCCCCTGTTACCTAGCAGTAAATAGGTACCTGGGAGTTAAGACAGCTGCTACGGGCTGCTTCCTGGGGGTGAAGGCCTGGTCGAGGACCGGGCCGCGGGGACACTAAGCCCCGAAATCATCTCAAGATAACCTCGAGATAACCAGAAGCTTCCCCCACATCTAACACAGGAAGGAGAATCCCGCTACTAGCAAGACTTAAAAAGAAATTGTTAATTTGCAGTTTTTTTGTAATATTCATGCATAGAAGAGTAAGTTACAATAAAGTAGCTGAAATAAATATTCTTATCCTTATCAAGTTTTAAGGGTCCCGGACGGACCGAAATGTCGTCAACAATGAGGCGAAGATAGACCGAAACCTGTGGGTTGGGATAATTTTTTGAAGTGAAAGTTCACCACCATTTCATTTTATTTTTATTATGAAAGTTAACCTCAGTGATTGTGAAGAGCAGTTGTAGTAGTGTTGTTTGGTGAAATATATATAAAGAACTGTTGACTGCAGAAGACAGCTGCCAGAATCAATACGCAGTTGTAAGGTAGTACGACCGCATATATATTATAGGCGCTATATAATCCTTTCCTCCATCATATCCTAAATCCTTATCCACATGTCCCTTCCAAGTGCTATATAGTCATAATATCTTAGTGCTTTCTCCTGACAATTACCCCCTCTCTCAATAGGCCCCACAACACCTCGGTCACTGAGAGTTGGAGGAGTGGGATTAAAAAGCAAAACTGAGATGAAAGCTTCCATACCAGCGATGACAATCTCGGTGACTTGGATGTATCGGGCGAGAAAAACAATAGTCGCTCCGCACGGGAGAAATCAAGATAAAATTCTTAAAGACTGACCCGTTCAGCAGAGCGAAAATGCCACAGGCACCGGTGGAGGGGGAGTCTTAGGGCGTAAATGCTTAGGAGGAGCAGCATTTTTAGAGCTTTATTTATGATCAAAAAGAGCTTAACGGGGCAGAGAGAGAGAGAGAGAGAGAGAGAGAGAGAGAGAGAGAGAGAGAGAGAGAGAGAGAGAGAGAGAGAGAGAGAGAGAGAGAGTGTGTGTGTGTGTGTCGTTATATGGAGAGATGTCAGTGGGAGGGAACTACCAAAGTTCCGTCCCTTGGTAGAGGGCGAGTCTCAATATGTCTATGGAAACATTATCAAGACGTCTCTCTCACGCAGGATGAGGAG